CGCAGATGCACACTCGTACTCCCTCGTCGATGTGGAGAACCAGCAGAAAATACAGCTGTTTCCAATCTCCTTCTCGAACGAGAATTTCGAACCTAACCAAGTCCACGATGTGTCGACAGCTCCGCCCTTGAAGTCGCCGACCTCCCCGTTCTTCGCCCATTCGCCCACCTCAGAGAGTCATTTGTTTGAAAGGAGCTTCAGCTCAAATACAAAGTCTGGCTTGTTGCAACCACACGGACACAAGCGATCAGGCTCGGCCACCTCGGAGCTCTCGCCCGAGTCGGGAACACCAAGACGCTCGCTATCGAAGGAGCGCGCAGGGAGCGCATCTCCCAGGCGAAGTATGGAGAATCCACCGCGTGATCCAGAATCTAGCTCGGAGGAAAGGAAACCACTTCCCCTTCTTCCAAAGCCGACGCAACTGAGGCCCCATATTCTATCGCCGACCCCGTCGGAATTTCTGCTTGTGAGGGGCACGGACGAGTCGGAGCCTGGAGTCGGTATGTTTGTCAACATTGACGGCGACGTGGTTCGTGGCACAATCACCTTTCACCAGTATCCGGAATCCATTATCATCGATAAAGGCAACGAGAACAACATGATTCATTCGCCCGACAACACCCATGAAGAACTGCTGCTTGCAGTGATAGAGGCAGAAAAGGAAGGACAACGCCGCAAGTTCCTGGAGGTTCAACTATGGGATGTCGATCCCGGGGAAGCGGACGAGCATAAAACGTGGGTTGAGATACCGTCTTCAGACGTGCAGCCGACGCATGTGGGACTCAACCATACGATAAGTCCGAGTCAGCTGGAGATCGCCGAGATGGGCAAGCTCTTGCAGATGGTGCGCCTGAAAACGCCGTCGCTGTCACCGCATGTGCCTGCTACCGATCCGAGAACGCAGGCGTCGATCGAACAGCTACAAAAAGAAAAGGAGCTATTCGAGGGCCAGGAAGGGACTGGTGAGGCCGAGCGTGGCTGGGAAGTAGAGCGCAATGCCGAAGAAGCCAAGTTTGCACGTGCCTTGGGCCAGACCCAGAGCAGTCTTATCATGTGGAATGGTAATCAGATATGGCGGGTAGTGAAGAACCCGCTAACAACGCAGCTGGATGACGCCCTACAGAGCGCTCAAGTACCGGATACAGATGGGCGTACTGTTCTCAAGCGGGATGCCATCACAGACGTCATAGATCTTGTTCAGGCCGCAGAGCCCAAGTCCGAATCCGAATTTCTAGGCTTGAATTACCTGAAGCAGAAAGCTAGTCTGCTTCTGTTCGGTGACCTGATTCTCATGGATGCAGAACACAGGGATGAGGCCACTATAGACGCTACGGAGCGAGCTCTCATTGTGGGAAACCTGGACCCCCGCATTCCGCTCCTGTTGATCCCACTATTGCGACGAGAGGTCCTGCAGAGCCCGCAAGGAATCTGGATACACGCGGGCTTGGCGGAGATCACAGAGAGTTACGTGCAGCAGCTGGATAAGGCTGCGGGCGACGGGGCCTCGGACAGTGCCGTGCTGGATATGATCAAGAGGTTTCTGTTCTCCTGGCAGCAGAAGAGGGGTTACGGAAGTATCACAGATGAGACCTACGTCTTCGACAGCGTCGACGCGGCCTTCCTGCACTTACTCCTGGAACAAGACGCACAACTTGCGCCTGAACAACGATCAGGCTCTTCGTTACGCATCGAACTGAACAGGCTTGTGGATAACTGGAAGGGCAATCTGGACCGCGCCGTGGCGCTATTAGAACAGTATCGACGACTGTTCGTTTTGAGCCGACTATATCAGAGCCAGAAGATGTCTCGCAATGTCCTGAAAACATGGCGCAGGATCATCGACGGTGAAGAAGATATGGGCGGCGAAATCACGATTGCTGGTACGGAGGCACAGATGCGCCGGTACCTGGTCAAGATCAAAGACGTTCAGCTGGTGGAAGAGTACGGGGCGTGGCTTGCCCAGCGCAACCCCAGCCTGGGCATACAAGTATTCTCTGATGGCACGAGCAGAGTCAAGCTGGAAACTGCCGATGTCGTGGCGCTTCTCAAGCAGCAAGCACCTAATGCCGTCCAAGCATACTTGGAACACCTGGTCTTTGCCAGAAATGTGAGTAGCGCCGTTCGTACTTCGACTAAGCTTTCTCTAACTGATTCTCTTCCAGCTCACACAATACGCGGATGACCTGCTGGCATACTACCTTGATTCCGTCCTCTCCGTACTGGAGACGTCGCCGTCAGCACGAGCTTCTCTCTCCGAATCCTACTCCACCTACCGCGCTCTAAGCGCTCCGAAACCGACCTATATGAATTTCATCACGGTGAACACTCCCTCAGAACCATGGTGGCAATCCCGGCTCCGGCTCCTCCAGCTCCTCGGCGGCGGCAGCACCGGAGGCAGCCAGTTCACCTCGATGCCGCCGCGCAACTTCACCTTCTCCATCCCTGCCGTTCTGGCTCGGATCGAACCTTTCCAGAACGAGCTCGTCTCGGAATCCATCATTCTCGACGGTCTTCAGGGCCGCCACCGCGAAGCTCTTCATCTCCTCACGCACGGCCTCGGCGACTACGATTCAGCCATCCGATACTGTCTCTTCGGCGGCCCGCAGGCCACCAGCAGCTCGTCGTCCTTCGCGGACCGATCGCAGCAGAGCGAACTCTTCCGGTTCCTACTGGACGAGTTCCTGAAGATCCAGGATTCGTCGGAGCGCATCGAGCGGACCAGCGATCTTCTGGGCCGGTTCGCGGCGTGGTTCGACGTCGGGGAGGTTCTGCGGATCATCCCGGACGAGTGGAGCGTCGATATCCTGGGCGGCTTCCTGGCGCACGTGTTCCGGGTGCTGGTGGCGGAGGGCAGGGAGGTGCGCATCGAGCGAGCGCTGAGCGCGGGGCTGAACCTGCGGGTGGGGACGGAGTATATCGAGGGGGTGGAGAAGGTGGGCGCCTGGGTCGAGGATGGAGATGGATTGCGGCGGGTGAAGGACCGGCCGGTGGTACGCGAGGAGGAGACCGAGGAGTTCGGGGATATTGTGGAAGCGGACAGCTGATGAGGACGACCACGATGTTTGTTGTATATATGACTTGTATATAGCGATGCCATGGCATGAAGCCTTGCACCGATCACGCTTTACAATCCGAGTTGTAGCGTAGAATGAAACATGTAGCATTTTGGTCGACATATCAACAATCCGCATAACCCTAAAACATGCAGAAGGCTTCCCGGGGGAGAACCCCCGGAGCCCCCTTCTTTTCAACTCCCCAGTAACCGCAACCATAAATCACAGAAGATGAGTAACTACAACTCCAAAAGATCATGCAACTGCCCCCAAACCACCTCCTCCGCCTCTTCCTCCCCATCCCCATCCTCAGACTCCAAATCCACCAAACCCTGCAACCTCCCCACCAGCTCTTCGACCGTCATCTCCCCATAAGTATCCCCAAAAGTATCCCCATAACTATCCCCCTCACACCTAGGAACAAGAACAGAACGGGTAAGAACATGCCCGACCCCATCCGCGACCACCAAATCCCTCACGCCCACCCGCTCCCCAGAAACAGTGACGCCCCCCCACGGCCCCAGATTCGCCACCTCGACCGACACCGTCCGCCCTTCCAACCACGTCTCCAGATCGAAATGCTTCAGCCCATGCACCGCCTCGATCTTGCCATGGCTTGTATACTCCACATCCGAGTAGAGCGTGCGATGCGGCACGAGATGGTACTTCAGCAGCGCGCGCAGGTACGGGGTTCCGTGCTCCGAGAACAGGAAAGCGTTGAGCTTGTACCCCAGTGCGCTGAACGCGCGGTTCGTGGGGAGGAAGTATGTTCCCCCTCGGCCTGGGCTTTTTCCAAGAAGGTTGGGGGAGGGGGGCTTGGTTGTTGGTTTCGGGGTGGGGTCTCCGGGGCTGGGTTTGGTGTGGTGGGGACAGTGGTGGGAGCGGTTGAGCTGGGCTGCCAGACCGGTGCGGTGAAGGGCGAGTGTTAGCGTGCTGAACTGCGTGGGCACGATGGTCGTCAGCGTCAGCAGGGAGGGCGGCGGGAGCAGGATCGCGTCGATCGTGTAGAGGAGCCCGTTGGCCCCGCGTTTGTCGGTCGCCAGGATGCGGCTGTAGTGGTTCAGGGTCGGGCCGTGCAGCGTGGTGCTGATGCTGAGGCGTTGCGGGAGGTTGTTGTTGTTGTTGTCGTTGTCGTTGTCACTGTGGGCAATGCTCGGGGCTGCGTCGGGCTTAGGGCTGAGCAGCCGCGAGGTCAAGAGGGTGGGCAGCGTGTGGGCGTGGAAGAGCTCGGCGGGCGTGTACACCGCGGAGACGAGGTGGTATTTCAGCACGGCGCGGATGAGCTCCGGGCGTGGTTTGTGGTGGTGACGGTCGTCGTCGTCGTCGTCGTCGTCTCCGTCATGGCTGTCGCGGTCATCGTGGTGGCGGTGTCGGTCGTGGTGGTGATGCGGAATTTTGGCAAACGCTTCGTCGGTGGGCGCGAAGAATGTGAGGTTGGCGGCCGTGCGGTTCAGCAGCTCCACCAGTTGCGAGTCGTCGTGGACGATGCGGGCCAGGATGGTGGTGTGAGGATTCTCGGAGATCAGATCGTACAATGACTTGTTGGAGGGCGGGTGGTGCGGGTAGGGCGGCGGAGACGGGCGGCGGAAGGGCGGCGGAGGAGGAGACAAGAGGTGTTCCTCGCTGGGGTTGGTCGCCTCTGCTACCTCATCGAGCCACGAGGTGATCTGCTGGACGGGCGAGTAGGTTTCCACCGCGGACTCGAGGAGCGAGAGGATATCGAATAACTGGTGGTCGCCCGCCTCGTGCTCCTCTTGCAGGTCTGGCTTCGGTTCGTGGAGGATCGCCTGCTGCTGCTGCTTGGGTGGGATCAGAAAGGCGGATGTCAGCGGAAGAGCCGCGACGGCCCAGTACTGGAGATGCTTCATTTTGGTTTTGGCCTCGTGCGGAGATGGGCCACAAGCAAATATCTACATTTTATAAAGCCTCGTAAAGGAGAAGAGGGGCGGGTGATATTATACTTGACAAAAGTCGAATATACTTCCGACCAGCTGGGATGATAGACTGGGCACTTGCTTCTAGACCGGGCGGTGCAACGCCGAAGTCACCGTCATCACCCCATTCCCTGCCGTGATGTCATGACATGTCACTTCGAAGCTTAATGGTCGTTAATCTCATTGATATTTCTTTCTAGTCACTCATCCTGCTGCAATCATGGCCTATGACTTGACCAGTGCATGCAAGCTCATTTTCAGGTACTGTACAGTCACTGCTCGAAGCACGAAGCACAAAGCACAAAGCACATCTGGTATATCTTTTCATCTGCTTTCGTAAATGGAATGACTCTTTCTCGACCAGTAGAGGCCTTGATCAACCCAACTGGGTTTACTCGGCCTTAAATCTAGCCGGGCATCGAGGCCATCAACCTCAGCCGTCAAGCCATGGCCGATGCTCTTCAAATCGCATGACATGGAATCACCACCCACGGAACCCTTACTCCTCCGGTTGCACGAAAGGATTGGCGATCTCCTCGCTGCCATCGGCCGGGGAGATCAACACAATCAGCGTACCACGGGCCACGATCAACCCCAGCGAGCGCGTGGTCTCGTTGCCTTCGTCATCTGTCCCCCCTCCCATTAGTCAAGCTGGCATATGAACCTAGATGAGGGAAAACCTACCGCGCATGCCTTCCTTGACATCGTCCAGAACCAAGTTCATCAATTGGTCGTAGCCCTTCAGGATACCAGTGACTGGGGGGAAGGGATGTTAGTTCGTACTCTACCGGGATGGGGATGCTGACCAAGCAGCTGACAAGGAAGTCAAAAAGCAAACTCACCTTCACGGCCTCCGTTGAACTTGACGCGCACCTCCTTGTCCATGTACTTGTTCAGATCGAGGATGTTCTCCTTCTTGGGCTTCTCTTGCTGCTGCTGCTGCTCGCGGTGGTCGCGGTGCTCGCGGTGGGCACCGCCACCTGCACCGCCACCGCGGCCCTGCCCGCCACGGCCGCCGGACCGGTCACCGTAACCTCCGCCGCGGCCGCGACCTCCTCGGAATGAGCCTCGTTCGGACATGGCTTGGCTGTGTTGGGGGAAAAGGAATCAATTGAATTGCGTGTAAGAGGGGCTAATGTATACTGGACTGATCGAGTGTCCAATTACAGCGGCGTGGATTAGATAATGATGCACGTGCCGTGACCTCAGTAGTAACTTCAGTTACTAACTCAAAGAGAGAGTGAGAGGGGAAGGGGGGAAGGGAGGGGGCCGGCACCAGAGATTGGAGACGTTGGGATTTGAGAGGTGGAAAGACGGTCAATCTGTTGGAGTAACCCGGAGTGGGAGAAAATTTTCGACCCGATAAGGCGAGGGGGGAGGAAAGGGGCGGAATGGGATGAGGTTCGGTGGATGGATGGATGGATGGATGTGATTGAAGCAACAGAGGTGATAGTTATCAGTATGAGGGATTTTCCATCCGCGAAAGTTGGTTGCAGCCGCGACGGAGTAACTCCACCAGTTGTCGGTTCCCGGGCGGTCGTGCGTACGCTTTTCGATGCCTACCATTTTCTTTTCCGTGGCTTTCCCGCTCGACACCCACCGCCCACACTTCTTCACCGCCTTTACATCCTTTGGGGAAAGGAAGGGTCGGAATATATACGGAGTACTCAATGTCCGAGAGGATGGAGAAGAATGAGTCTCTATAAGGTACCCTTGATTGATATCTAACTTATACGCAGTTGTCTCCTACTGTTGAGTTGAGAAACTCGTTGCTTTTACATCATAGCCTCACGACTTCGTTGGTCGAGTTCCAGCACTTGTATACTTACGGATATAAATAAACATGATGGCATAAGCTCGAGGTCACAGATGCGCTACTGACTATCAACAGACACCACTCAGCACCTCATCTACCCACTTCTACTGTGCTACGACTACCAAGGATACAGCACGCAATTGGAACGTCAAATACTAACATCGCTGCCACGAGATGGCCAGATGGTTGAAGAGTAGAAGACGGTGTTGGTCACACCGTTGACACTGACAATACCTGACCCATAGCTGACCACCGGCCCGGTCTAGCGTGGGGATTGGATATCGATGTGGCTGGAACACCGGTCAATCGGATGGAGATCGGCCTGGCAACCTCGACTCCAGGCTCATTAGGCATCAAGTTTAGGTCAGGCTCATGCGTTTGTCTACGGTGTACGGTACTGCACACCATGCAGCTTCATCAATACCCGCCCGTGTCCTTTCCGTCAACCTCCAGACCAAGATGGGAGCACGAAGAGTGGTGGTACGGAGTCCGCGTATGGCACACGGGAAAAATCGACGATCCCCCCTTCTGCCCGGCGGAGCGCGCCTGTAGCAGCACATGGGACGAGACAGTCGAGCTATTCGGTGGTGATCGGTCACTTAGTGAGGGAAGGACGGGGGGGGGGGGGCGGACTGTCGCTTGTTCGTTTCCCCCTCCCCCCTATGACATCAAACCCGGAGACAGGATCCAACCGCCAGGCAACGTGTCTGTACTCTTTTCCTGTAGCCATCGTGGTACTTTCGTTCCTGAGGGTCCGTCCGCAAGGGGGCAAAAACGATGCACCCTCGCGCAGTGGGCTTGTGGATAAGCATCTTCAATGGTGGCCAGTGTCACGATGGTATCGAATTGATTCAACTGTATTGGTCATGACAGTGACAGTGACGGGTTACGGCTCATCCGAATGGACAGCGGAAGAGCCCGGCGGGACTCCGCCCCTGCCTGTTGCTTACGCATCCACCAGTAGGACACCCACGATGATAAGAAGATTGGGATGAATGGACATGGACAGACTGACTCTTGTGTGGTTGAGAATTAAGGGAGAGTGTGTCCAGGGAGTAATCTACACTCTACAGTACGTACTGCATACTAGGTTAAAGAATTACTACTTCCTTCCTCCTGCTTCAATGTTTTGCGGAAGATCGGGAAGAGAGTGAGTGAGTGCGAAAGATAATAATAACTGGATGGAGCAGGTGACTTTCCGGGCTCGCCCGTTCCGCCATCCATCCATCCCCTCCGTCGGTCTCTTTGCTTGCTTTCCTCCTCCTCCTCCGTCGTCTTCTATTCTTATCCACTCACTGCTCTTTCTTTTATCCACCCCCCTCTCTCTTCCCCCTGCGGTGATTATCTGCGATTGAGGTCTGCGAACCACAACCCGCGTGCCGGACCAACCGGCCAACAAACAACCAAATGGGTTGAACCCCGATCTCCCCTTGGTTTCTCTTTCCCTCTTCTCAAGCATTCATTCGTTAAGTGGTTCAGTTCAACTTGCCCGCTTTCCGACCTTCCTCTTTTCTGCTAGTACAGTACAGTACATACAATTGGGTTCGACTGCTCCGTGCTTCTCCTTCTCTCGCGATTGTCGCGTTCTCCTCTTCCTCTCCGTCGGCTCCTCTTCTCCTCTCTCCTCTCTCCTCTCTCCTCTCTCCTCCTCCTCCTCCCTCCCTCCCTCCCTCTCTTATCCTTTAACCAACGTTTCCTCTCCTCTTTTCCACCTTCTTCTTTACTACCCGCTCAACCTTTCTTTCTTTCACCACTTCCTGCTTGTCCCACCCCCCACTCATCCCTCCACCCCAGTTTCCTCCATCCCGGTTTGCATCGGCTGGGGGTTATCGCGATTACCTAACTTGAACGCAGTACGCGCTGCCCAGTGGCTGATTGGGAGCCCGCACTCTGGAGCCTTATGCTCCGCCATCGGCAGCCTGTCTTTCGCCAGCGTTCCCATTACTCATTTCCTCAATAATCCCTTTTTCTCCTCTCAGCTCGCTCCATCGCTTTCCCTTTCCCTTTTCCTTCCCCGCCTTGTCTTTTTTCTTCTGTGACTACCGCTATAGTCGCGATCCTAGGATCTCTTCCCCTCCCCTTCTCCCCTCTCCCCCTCCCCTTCCTTCTCTCTCTTCCCTCCTCACCACCTTTCCCTCTCCTTCCCGCCTCTTCTTATCATCACTATGGAGTCTCGACCTGCGACGGCTGAGCCGTCCAGTAAGCGGCCGCGATCGCCGTCCGGCGACTTTCCTCCTATCGCATCCAAAGTCCCCAAGCCCTCCAATCACCTGCAGATCAACTACCTGGCCCGTCAGTATCCGGACAATCTGCCTCTGGTTTCCGTCGAGGATACCATGCCCTCGATCATTCACTTGATTGGAGAGTATGACGGCGTTTTGCACCGACACGAGAGTATCGCCGGCAACCTGGGCGCTTGCCCATTAGGCCCCATTCTGATCAAGCGCTTCGAGCGCCTTTTCGATGGACCGCCCCGCGTGCTCAAGTCCCACGGCAAGGATTCACCCAACGTCACCTGGCTAGACGTGGTGGAATTTGCCAAAAACAAACCGGAACAGTTTAACCTGGAGAAGTCTCGCAATGGCGTGCGCGTGTGTCAATTCTACACCAAACAGTGTCGCGTAGAGATCAGCGAGGAGGATTTCGTCCTGATTGCATCAGGCATGCCGCAGAAGATGATTCCGCCTCAGCCGATCATTGAAGACGAAGAGAAGGAACTGGGCGCGCTCGAGATACTGGAGAAAAATCTCCAGCAGATCATCCAGGTGGCCGACCAAGGTCAGCTCATTTCAGACCTACGCATTCACACGGAAGATGAGATCACTGACGGGTTGCATTTTAGTATCCGCGCGAGCCCGACAACTCAACCATCGCCTGAAGAACCGGAGGACGGCGATCGTGACCCGTCGAGAAAACGACATGTCCCTTCATTCGCAACGACATCAGCAACATCGCTCGATGAGTCCTGCGTGGCGCGATGCGAACGGACATGGACTCCCAGTCCTCAATGGCAGCGCTCCGGTGAGCGCTCACTCTCCATCCACTGGTTTTGTGGCGGTCAATGCCGGCCGGCCCGGCGCTGGCGAAGCTGCTGTGGAGGAGAACTCGCTCTCGTCGCAATTCATGTTTTCGCACTCGAACACGGACAACGTCACGATTATCAACGGCACCTCTATCAAAGGCGCGTCGCCGACCACGCGCGCCGAGCTAATGAAGAAGTTCTTCACTACGCAAGACCGGCAGTCCCGGTCCTATGAGGAAGGACCCGACTCGTCGGCTCGGCAGTCATCGCGACCGCGCCCGCGAGCGTCGGACGCGTCGGAGTACAACATGTATACTCCGGCCCCCACCACCGTCGCCATCCCGAGTACGCCGTCGTCGTTGCTACCACCGCCCAAGTCCCACCACCATGATAAGGATGACGGGGGCCCGCACAAAATGGAGATGGTGGCCCGCATGGAGGAGCTGCAGCGTGGAGAACGGATTATGCCCCCTTGTGATCGGTGTCGCCGTCTTCACATGGACTGCTTAAAGAATCTGACGGCCTGTATGGGATGTACGAAGAAGCACGCCAAGTGTTCTTGGAAGGATGTGAAGGAAGATGAGCTGCGGGAGACACAGGTGGACCGCAGCTCCCGGGAGCGGATGGAGGAAGGGCCAGCCCAGGAGGTCGCGGCAACCGCCATGGGACCCTCTGCGGTGCAAGCACCTCCGTCCGCGGCGCAGACGCCGGTCTCCGAGCCGACGATGATGGACGTGGATCGACCGCACGCCCATGATCATGTCGACTTCAGTACGCGACGAGAGTCGGCCCCAACCGCGACGGCTGGTTCGGCCGTGGGAACGCCTTTCAAGAGAGACCTCTCCCCTCGTCGCGCGATGAGCGAAATCCAGGGGAGCAACGTCATGACGCACGACCGACGCATTAGCATGCATCGGCATGCTGACTCGGCGCAGGATGACGACGCCCCGGATGCTAATTCGCGCCTCATGCAGGCGATCTTGGATACGGTGGACCACCACGCGCGGGTGGCGGCTGCCGCCAAGGAGGGGCATGAAGTCAGTAACGAACGGGAGCGAGAACGCGAACGCGAGCGGGAGCGGGAGCGGGAGCGCGAGCAGGAGCGCGACCGGGAACGGAAGTTGGTGCGAGCATAGTGTATATCTTCGTTGGCGGGATGAGCCGGCGCGACTTGGAGTTTTTTGTATCTATGTTTACCTTGATTCTGTTTTGTTTCTGTGTGTACTGTTGAGCGAGTCTGGCAGATATCCCGGTTGTTTGTCGTATGCTGCATATTAAGAAGTGTTGAATATGAATTGGTTATTCTGGAATGGAACGGATCGAATGAGGGGATAGTGTTTGGGGACGATGACGGATCATGGATCATGGATCATGGATCGCTTGAGGTCATTCCCGAAGCGGATGAAGAACTGCCGATGGTTGATCCGCTGGGGGGAAGCTTGTTCTGTTGGTATCGAACATGACCCACAGTGGCCATGCCAGTACTAGGACGGATAACCAAGGTAAACCAACCTCTATGGTCACCTTGAGGCATGGTCTGTTGTACGTAGTATTAGCGTATCAATTATCTGGCCAGGACCATCAGTGGGCAATCATCGAGAAATCTCCTTGAATGTCATCAAATGCGGAGTGAAGGGCACGCAGCGCGGGGATGTTGCGTCCGTTGACTTCTCCCCCCACAGCTGATCGGATGGGTCGGGGCGAAAGAAAGAGGGCTAGAGTCTAGCCTGCTTCCTGACCCATCGGATGCCCATGACCAGGGTAGCAGGGTATCCAGGGTATCCAATTGTTGCTGTGTATACGATGTCGGATGGTAGGTTGAGGCCGGCAATACGGAAATAGCAATAGCCGGAGCAGCTGAGTTGAAGTGGGCATTGGCCAGTGAGGAGCCGGCTGTTACGCCATCCATCATTGAATTTCCCCCCGCCAGAATGTGGGGAAAGAAAATCCACCCCGCGGAGCAGGCTAGCGGAGCTACCTACGGAATACATATTTGTATATAGACTTCCCCCGACCCAGCTAGCTCACACACTTACTTACTTTCTTCTACTCCTTGGAATTCTCCCTTTCTTCTCCATATAACCCCAAGCCCAAAGTACAGCCAAAGCCGACAAAATGGACCCCTCCCTCGTGAAAATCCCCGCCATGAAAGATCTCACGATCGACAACATCACCGAGAACGTGATCCGCATCAACTCGCTGTGCCCGGACGAGCGCATGAAATACATCCTGGAGCGACTGGTCACTCACCTGCACGACTTCGCGCGGGAGACGCGCCTGAGCACGGAGGAATGGATGACGGGGCTGCGCTTCCTGACCGAGGTGGGCAAGATCTGTACGGAAGTGCGGCAGGTAGGGCGCCCCCAGCACCCCCAGCACATTCCCCTGCATCCCAGACCCTAACAACGGACAAAGGAATTCATCCTCCTCTCCGACATCCTCGGCCTGTCGTTACTGGTGGACAGCATCGACCACCCCAAACCCGCCGGCAGCACCGAGGGCACCGTCCTGGGCCCCTTCCACACCCACGAAGCCGAGGAGCTGGCCCCC